CTTACTGAGGTAGAACTGTGCCTGTGAAAAGGCTGGAATCTGGAAAGCCTAAGGAATAGGGTTGGAATTGATGGTCTTTTAGGTCTTTTCCAACCTGGTTGATTCTATGATTCTATGAGAACATGACAGGTGTACCAAAGTGCAGGTTTTCCCCTCTGTCAGAAGGAATGGAAATGGGGGAGAGATAACTGATGCATCAGATAAATTCATGCTTTGTAAGTGGAATCCAGAAAGATTCCTTCATTAGTGTTGCCCTTTCCTAGCCTGGAATGGATTTGAATTGCTCAATCTTATCATGCTTCTACTTGCAGCAAATTTGGTTGAAAATCACATAATCTCCTGAAGGCTTATCAATGATTAATTGAAAGGATTGTATCATTCTGGTGATTCAGGAGAGCTCCAGAGGCTTCAGAGTGATTTCTTTCCCTTTCGCCTAAACCTCTCGTTATTCTCTAAGCTGTAATGCTGCAAAGTCCAGCATTAAAACATCAAGAAATTATTAAGGAAGCTTGTTTGTTCATTTCATATGGCCATATGCAATTTTCCAGTTGCTTCTGATTTTCCCCCAGACTTCAGCCTGGTTCGGTGCATCAAGTGCTCAATGTTCATTCCTAATGACTGGCTATTAAATACTTTGTTTATTCATTGTGTAGCCTGAGGTTTATTTACTGCATGCTGCTTTCTGAAGACAGAAAACCTAATTTCGGAAGTAAAATATTCAGATAGCCAAACAAAACAAGAAAATAATGTATTCTTACAAATCACCCAGGTCATACTGTCCTCATTTTCCTGGAGCTGTGGAGGCAAAGGTCAAAAGCACATAGATCCTGCTGGGAGCCCATTCTGAAATGCTTAATACTCTTGTCCAGGAGCATTTGGTTGAAAGTATCTGGTATTATATAAAGCTGTTCCTTAGCTGATTTCAGATGCTGCTCAAGTACTGATGTGCCTACAAGGTCTTAACTGCAAACGAGGAGCAGAGTCCTACCTTGCATACCCTCAGACCCTCAGTGGGGATTTTCTGTTGAAGTGATTTGGGTAGGAAAGGTCTACAGAGATACCTGGACCGACTGGATCAGCAGCTGAGGACAACTGCAGGAGGGTCAGTCAGGCTCAGTGCTGGTCCTGCCCTTGGTACACAACAGCCCATGCAGCTCCAGGCTGGGGGAGCAGTGGGGACAGAGGTGTTGGGCACAAAGGGACTTGGCAGTGCCTTATCAGAGGAGGTGGGTGCTCTGCAGCATCAGGAGACCAAGAATTACTCTTAAGTTGAGAGCTGTGTGATACATGCTGTGTTAGAAGTCTCATGTTGTTTTCACCCTCATTGTTTTTGGAGACAGTGTTGCCTATTATTTGGGTCAAGAAGTAAACAGTTCTGCAGCACTATCCTTTTATAAAATGCCTCAAGTATGCACCTGCAGAGAAACAGATTTGCTATGCATTGGTGAATTATTGCAAGGCAAAGGTTTGTACTGGGCCCAGAGTTTATGTTAATGTGTAAAACCATGGCTTCAACTTCTAGGCTGTGTTTTGTTTGAAAAAACAGAGGTCACTTTGGATGTATTCAAAACTCTTCTATGTTTAAGTTGATCTGTGTTTTAATAACCACACATACTGGAATACTGCACACAGTTCTGGTGTCCTCAGCATAAGAAGGACATGGAATTGTTGGAGCAAGTCCAGAGGAGATCCTGAAGTTGCTAAGAGCACTGGAGCATCTCCCCTGTGAGGACAGGCTGAGGGAGTTGGGGCTGTTGAGCCTGGAGAAGAGAAGGTTGTGTGGAGACCTCAGAGCACCTTCCAGGAGCTGAAGGGGCTCCAGGGAAGCTGCAGAGGGATCTGTGTTAGGAGCTGCAGGGACAGGACAAGGGGCAATGGGCACAAATTGAAGGAGGGAAATTGAGGTTAGATGTTAGGCAGAAGTTTTCCCTGTTGTGGTGGTGAGACACTGTCCCAGGTTGCCCAGGGAGGCTGTGGCTGCCCCAACCCTGGCAGTGTTCACAGCCAGGTTGGCTGAGCCTTGAGCAACCTGCTCTGGTGGGAGGTGTCCCTGCCCAGGGCAGGGGTTGGGGCTGGATCATCTCTAAGGTCCATTCCAACCCCTAAATTTTAGGATTCTATGATATGATTCTATGATTGTTTGCATGCTGCTTTATTCTCTAGTGAGTTTCATGTGGATTTCTTCACACTGTTTATGTAGTAGATATTTCTTTGAATCTCATTATATTTGTCATAATTAGACTTTCTTGTGTGTAAGAGTTTTCCATAAAGTTCAATGATCAGGTGATTGTGTTAGCTTATTTTTTTTCCCCTGACCACATCTTGGCCTAAATCCAAACACTTTTTCCTTAAAGCAGTGAGGTGATTGTGTTCCCTCCTGCCTCCTTCCCTTGTCTCCAGGGAATTGTGCACTGCATGTATTTTCTTAATTGCATTGTGTCAAGAACTCGTGAAATGCTTATTTCATCTTTGTTCAGAAGAAATCCTAGTCTTTCATTAGAAAAAAAAAAATCCTAGTTATTAAAACCTTAAATATTTTGGAAGCTCAGGGTTTGTTTTTTAGTGTAAACAAAGATTTAATGTGGCATTTTCCTCAGGCTGGTACCTAAATGCAAGGACAAAGTTGGTTCCTGAAGTTTGCTCATGGAAGTAGTTTCTGCATGTTAATGGAGACTCTGAACTCGCTGTGAAATGTTGTTCCCAGAGGTGTCTATGACTTGGATTAAGAAGCTTTTATTGATCTGTCATTTCTTTCCTCTTCAGACTACCTGTCACAGAGAGCAGTGGAACTGAATACTCTGGAAAATACAGACAAGCAGAGGAGCAAGAACTGGATGGAGCTGGAAATGGTCATAATAAAGGAGGTAAGAACAAAATTAAAATATTTGGTTTCTGTTATAAACTCAGATACACCTGTCCCTTTTCTCCCTGTGGTCTTTCCTCCCATCTCTGCCCCTAAACAAAACTGTGAAGCCTTAATGTGTATTTCTTGCTTGTTTAATGCTGTGTACATTAGTTGGTTATATTTAAGACATGGTATTAAAAAGTGAACACCTTATTTTTGGGAAAGTACAATGTGTAATGCTGTTGCACAGAGCAGTGAGCCAGATGTATTCACATTTTATTGATAAATGTAGGCAGATGATTGGAATCAATCTGCAAGGAAAAGGTGCCTCTCACTGGATTTATGTCTTTATCCTGTTTTCCCATTTTCTATCCATGTTATTTCTCTGTGTATTTGATTGTTGCCTTGAACTGCCTGTAGAGAGAAATCTGATTGCACTTCTTTCCTAGGAGCTCTGGTAAAAGCAGTGTGAGGCTGACTCACTTGTCAGGACAGCTCAACTTCAAACTCTTGCTGTGCCTCTTAATTCCCAAATTTGTTAATGTAGCTGATTTCCCAAGAAAAGGACATTTCTCTTTTGTCATTCTCTTAACACATTTTTGTATACATTTGCTGACGTACCAAAACTTGACAAATTGATACATTTTCTGAAAATTCCTGTCCTTCAGTTGCTTCTGCAAATCTTGTGCCCTCTGGAGCTGAGGGAGCTGATGAAGCCTTTTGCTGGGTCTGTCATCAGCTGAGTTGGCCTGTTCAGCCTGTGCATTACACCTGATCACCTGCCCCAACCAAGAAATGGTGTCTCTTGTTCACTTGGCATTTGTGGGAGAGGAGGTACTGGAAGGTGAAAATTGGGGAATGAAGGGACTGGAAGGAGGTTCCAATGTTGCAGTTCAGGACTGTGGTGTTCCCTGTTTTTTCATGTGCTTTACTAGCACAGGAAGGGCAGCAAGAGGCTGAGTAAGTTCTTCGGTATAGTGATATTAACACAAGGAAATACCAAGGTCATTTGATGTCCTTCATGTATTAAACCAGAATTGTGACCAAAGTAGGCTAGCAACTTAATTTAGCAACAGTAGTGACCTGCTTATCTTTGAATGGAACTAATGATCCTCTTGTGAAAAAAACAGGGTTATAACTTAAGCTCTTTAGGAAATATTTCTGTGTACTCATCCTGGTGCTTTATTGTATAAACACCTATTTTCTCATAGCTGACCCTAAAATATTTGTCCTTGAAATTTATACCTTCCAAGTCTGGAAAACATGTCATGTGAAGAAGGGGTGAAGAAGGGCTGAGGGAATTGAGTTTCTTTAGCCTGGAGAAGAGGCTCAGGGGTGACCTAATGTCTCTGTCCAACTCCCTGCCAGGGTTGGAGAGAGGTGTGGGATGTGTGTCCTGCCAGGGCTGCAGGGAGAGGATAGAGGGAATGGCCTTGAGCTGAGCCAGGGCAGAGTCAGATTGGATGTTGGGAGAAATGTTTTCCCTGTTGTGGTGTTGAGGCCCTGGGATATTGCCCAGGGAGGTGGTGGAGTCACCATCCCTCGAGATGTTTAAGAGACATCTGGATGTGGCACTGGAGGATATTGTTTAGGGTTTAGGGGTTCCAGCAGTGACAGGTTAATGTTTGGACTGGATGATCTTCGAGGTCTCCTCCAACCTCAATGACTCTATGTTTAAGAAAATGTTGTGTTTCTCTTACCACACAAGAGAGAGAGAGAGAGAGAGAGAAATGCAGACATTGCTTATCAAGATGCTTTGCCTAAGTTGTCTGAGCTAACAGCTGCTGAAATGGGCTGTTCTCAGCCTTCCTTTGAGCAGCAAGGTTAGAACTGAGGGTATGGGGAGGATTAGCTTTTGGTAAGGTGCCTTGAAATGTTTGCTGAAATCCACCTGGAGGCCTGTCCAGCTAACTAGGCCTCTTAGGAGGAGGCAGCTAGTTTTCAGTCACTTGGGTATTAGGAAGTCTTTATTCTTCAGGGATGAATGTTTACATGGTTTAGGGTTTACAGCAGTGACAGGTTAGTGGTTGGTCTCGATCTTAGAGGTCTCCTTCAACCTTGATGGTTCTGTGTTGACCTTTGTAGGCTGAGCTCCAATAAAAGCTGCTGCACTTAATATTTTAAAACTGTAATTCAAGGAAGGGATATGATCATCATGGGTAATGTTGGGAAGAAGTATTTGCTCAGCTGGAAGGAGCAGTCAGAAGACTCAGGTGCTGGGATGTAGAAAAAATTGAGTGTAAATGAACATTTAGAGAGGAGTTGTGTGTTTTGATCATGGCTAGAAGCCTTTGGAAATGAGGGGCATCTACCCAATCTGCTTCTATGATTCTGATATTGTTTTGTGCCTTCAAAGTTTCAAGGTACTGAAACAGCATCTAGTTAGAAAAGAACCTTAAATAATTACTAAATTGTTGGCATGTGTGTAGTCTCTTGTTATTAATACTTATTAATCAAAATATTAACTAGTAACAGTGATCCTTATTAATAAAGATATTTTTCTCAGTCTCTTACCCCTGCTTCTCCCCACCCCCTTCCTGCTCTCTGTGTCATTGTCTGGAGCCTTAGTTGCTGCAGGAGCTGTTCCATGCAGGGATGCTGCTGCCTCCTCTCATCAGTGCTGTGCTCCCAGCTGTGTGTGATCCACTGGCTGACTCTCAGCAGACTGGAGAGTGACAGGGCTGGAACAGTCCTACGGCATTCTGAGTCTGAGCTGCCAAATCCCACCTAGGTGGGGAATAGCATAGAAGCTTCAGAAAATCCTGGTTCTTATTGCTGCCGACTTTGACGTGCAGATTCAGAAATATTCTGGCAGGAGAATGGAATAAAGAAGCCCTGGAAATGAGCACAGGATTTATAATGCTGATTTTATAGCTTGTACGTGTGTATGCTGTTAATGAGGCTATTGTCAAATGGTAATTTGTTCATCGTGCAGGTTTCAAGGTCTATTTGTAGGTATCAGCTCTATGGAGTGTGTGTTCTCTTTAAGGACATGACAATTGTCATAACTGATCAAGGATTTATCTAGACCAGAACCTGTGAGTCTAGCTGTGTTGAATCCAAATGCAGTCAAGAAATAACCTTCACAGCATGGAAATGAGAAGCTGATTTGCCCTGAGGGTTCAGAGTTGGTACCCCTTTTGTTGCCCCTTTCTTTGAGAATTGCTGTTCTACCTGCACGTGGTATCTTCTTTCAGAGTTTGGAACCATCAAGGTTGGAGGAGATCTCAGAGATCGAGTCCAACCATTTACTGTCACTGCTGTAACAGGAAACACAGAAAATCCCTTCAGTCTAGCAGTCTTGAAAAGTACTTGTTCTATTAGTACTCACAAGTATGTGATTCAGGTTTTATAAAGTTGGGTATGTAGATGTTCCTGCTGGTCCTTCTCTAGTGAAATAACTTGCTCTTGGTTATTTTCATGCCTAGATACTTCATTGTCTCAGTATGAATCAAGTGGTTCAACTTCTGCACTAGCAGCTGACCATGAGTATGTGGAAATGCCTGTAGCCAAACACAGGGAAAAGGTAATGTCCTTGTCCTTTCTCTCATGCAATAAAGCTGAAAATAACATTTTGATCTGAGTTTTGGAGTGGTTTTGTTTGGTTGTTGTTGTTTCTTAGAAGAAAGATTCTGTCCCTGTCATGAACATTGGACAAAACTTTCATTTGTTGTACAAAACTACTCTAGGTGGATTTTAGAACCTACTTCATTAACTTCAGAGTTCAAATTTTTTTTTTACAGTTCTGCCAAATTAAAACTAGTTGATTCATTCTGAGTTAGAAGTAGGTTCTTAGAGGGGGACACACTGCTGTAATACTTTCTGCCTGTAGGTATTCATGTACAGTATGTGTGTGCCCATGTTCTTTTCTAGGAGTCCAGTTACCTCTAGGAGGTGCTAGAAAAGATGGCACAATGTTTTACAGAGATGTGATGTGTGGCCTGGAAGCTGTTCATACTTCAAATCTGATATCTGCTTTGAGTTGCATTGTAGACTGAGTGTTTCCTTTGGCGAATTGTTTCAGATCCTGTCTCTTATCCAAAACAACTCCGTTGTGATTGTAGAAGGATGTACTGGCAGTGGGAAGAGCACACAGATTCCACAGTATGTTCTGGATTCCTGCATGCAGCAATCCATCTACTGCAACATTGCTGTGACCCAGCCCCGCAGGATCAGTGCCAGCAGCCTGGCCAGGTGGATCAGCAGGGAACGCTCCTGGACACTGGGTGGATTTGTAGGATACCAGGTACAAGAGCATTGCCATTTGTGTTTAAAATGGCATTCAAAAGTACTGTGTCTTTTTTTTTCTTGATTGTTTTTAAACACGTCCAGCAAGCTGAAGAAGTGTTGGAGAATCTGTTTTTCGAGTGGGATTGCAGTTTTCTGGCTGTGTCCTGGAATTAAATCAGCTTGTAAAGTTGGACAGCTATAAATGCCAGTGGGACTCCCACCAAAGTATTTGTCTGTGTTGGACACATTTGTGTTACTAATCACTGAAAGTGTTGCAGGAGAACTCTATCTTGTCGTTTTTCCTTTCAACTCACGGGTCACAGAGTGGGTCAGGTTGGAAGGGACCACAGTGGGTCATCTGGTCCCACTTCCCTACTCGAGCAGGGCCAGCCCAGAGCATGAGGCTCAGGAACTCCCTAATTAACATACTTGATCTGTTTGACTTCACTACATTTACCTGTCAGCTCTGTCAAAACTTTCATGCATTTATGGCCAGATTGTTTTGTGAATATCTTTCAACATGTTTCTTCTTAACATGTGAAAAATTTGAACTAGTTTTTCCTCTTGAATCCGTCTCCTCCTTTTGCTTTGCTCAACTCAACTTCAAGCTTGGTTCTGTCCCTCTCTTCATGAACTTGATTCTACTTTCCTTTCTTGACACAGGTCCTGGTGCTTTAATCAGCTCTTTGTACCCACAGTAATGGTTGTTTCCCTGTTAGACTGAGAGCAGCTTCTCTGGGTCCTGAGGCCAGTGGTGTTGTTCATAGAGAGTTGTTTGCTTCTGGAGTCCTTTGCCTGGAGGAATACATGTTGACTTCCCCTCCTCTATGTTCTTTTTCTTCTTGTTTGTTCCCTTCTTTCTTCCCCTCTGGTCTTGGTGGTATCTTACACCTCTTTGCTTTTCCTGTCCAGTAAACAAACTATATTTTGGCAAAATCTTTTCCTTGCTGTGTACATTAGTGCAAAGAATCATGTCTGTACCTTGGGAAGTCTTGGAAGAATTCTTCTCAGGATAAACCCCCCAGCAGGGAATTTTGTTACCTCATAAACTTAAGAGTTTAAAATTTTTTTTAACATTTCTGCCAAATTAAAACCAGTTAACTCTCATTCTGGGTTTTAAGGACACTTGTACAGAGGCTTTTACGAGTTTGAGTCAACTCTTTTGGTGGGTTTACACCATGTTTCACCTTTGGAGTTCTTTCAGATAATGTGTTTCTATAAACACAGTAAATACCTGCTTTCAGCTAATACCAATTTTTCTTACTGTTGTTAGGTGAGTTTAGAGAGAGTTTGCACCAAGGAGACAAGGCTGATGTACATGACAACTGGAGTTCTTCTTCAGAAAATAGTTTCTGCCAAAAGCCTAACTGAGTTCACCCACATTTTCATTGATGAGGTAAGTTGGTGGAAATAAGTTGGAATTTTATATTATGAGAACCTTCTTGTGTTGTCTCTCCTTACCACACAAGAGAGAGAGAGAGAGAAATGCAGACATTGCTTATCAAGATGCTTTGTCCAAGTTGTCTGAGCTAACAGCTGCTGAAATGGGCTGTTCTCAGCCTTCCTTTGAGCAGCAGGGTTAGAACTGAGGGTGTGGGGAGGATTAGCTTTTGGTCTTTATTCTTCAGGGATGAATGTTTACATGGTTTAGGGTTTACAGCAGTGACAGGTTAATGGTTGGACTTGATGATCTTAGAGGTCTTCTCCAGCCTTGATGGTCTGTGTTGACCTTTGTAGGCTGAGCTCCAATAAAAGCTGCTGCACTTGATATTTTTAAACTGTAATTCAAGGAAGAGATATGATCATCATGGGTAATGTTGGGAAGAAGTATTTGCTCAGCTGCAAGGAGCAGTCAGAAAACACAGATGCTGGGATGCATAAAAAATTGAGTGTAAATGAATGTTTTTGCGAGGAGTTGTGTGTTTTGATTATGGCTAGAAGCCTTTGGAAATGAGGGACATCTATCCAATTTGTTTAGCTTTTAGACATGCCGCTATAGTCCCTTGCTGGATCATTTGTGATCTTACCAGTACAACTGACTCATCCAGCGTCAGTTTCCCTTCAGCTGTGTTTGTCAGCTGCAGTAGAACCAGTAGCTAGAGCTCAGGATTGGTTTTCTAGTGATTTTTCTGCAACTTTCATGACTTCATAGAATCATAGGACAGCCAATTTGTTTAGCTTTTAGACATGCCGCTATAGTCCCTTGCTGGATCATTTGTGATCTTACCAGTACAACTGACTCATCCAGCGTCAGTTTCCCTTCAGCTGTGTTTGTCAGCTGCAGTAGAACCAGTAGCTAGAGCTCAGGATTGGTTTTCTAGTGATTTTTCTGCAACTTTCATGACTTCATAGAATCATAGGACAGTCAAAGTTGGAGGAGAGAGATGAGATCGCGTCCAACCATTAACCTGTCACTACTGGAACCCTTAAACCCTAAACCAGATCCTCCAGTGCCACATCCAGACACCTCTTCAATACTTCCAGGGATGGTGACTCCACCACCTCCCTGGGCAATATCCCAGTGCCTCAACACCCTCACAGGGAAAACATTTCTCCTCACATCCAATCTGACTCTGCCCTGGCTCAGCTCAAGGCCGTTCCCTCTAGAGAATGTGGCATACATGGCATATGATTTTCACAGAGGATGCTGTGATCATCTGAACAGTCTTGTTGGGATTTTAAAATGTGGTTAACAATCCTAGTCTCCACAATGTGTGATTTCTTCTATGAAAATGGATTGTTATTCCAAGTTACAAAGGTGAAGCTTGAAATTGAGTAGGAAAGTAAGAGATTGTCAAAAAGAAGAGCATCAGTTAGTGAAAATTAACTGGTGGGTAATGTCTTCCAGGTGCATGAACGAACAGAAGAAATGGATTTCTTGCTCTTGGTGACTCGTAAACTGTTACATACCAATTCCCAGTCTGTAAAGGTGGGTTCAAACTGAATTCTGCTACTTTCTCTTGCAAGAGCAAATTTTTGCAGATTTTTCATCTACAAATCACAGAACCAGTTAGGTTGGAAGGGACCACAGTGGTCATCTGGTCCAACCTTCCTACTCAGGAAGGGCCAGCCCAGAGCACATGGCTCAGGATTGTGCCCAGATGGCTACGGAATAACTCCAGTGATGGAGAATCCACAGCCTCTCTGGGCAATGTGTTCAGTGCTCAGTGACTGCACAGCAAAGAAGTTCTTCCTCATGTTCGGGTGGAACTTCCTTGGCATCAGTGTTTGCTGTTCTCTCTTGTTTTATTGGTTTCCCCCACTGAGCAGAGTCTGATCATCCTCTTGGCACTTCCCATTCATGGCCTTGAATCCATTCCTGAGGTCCCTCTCAGTGTCTCTTCTGGAGGCTGAACAGCCCCAACTCCCTCAGCCTTTCCTCATCCCTGAGGTGCTCCAGTCCCTTCAGCATCTTCCTTGCCCTGCCCTGGACCTGCTCCAGGAGCTCCATGTCCCTCTGGTGCTGAGTAGCCCAGAACTGGCTAGAGTAGTCCATATTTTAAAGATTTTACCTCAAATTATTATTACTATGTTATTCTTTTGTACTAAAATATTTGGTGTGTCACTCCTTAGAAGGAAGGAGGCTAAAGGGCATTTTTTTCCTGGCTGCTATAATGTGTTCTGAGAGACTTCTTTCTTTCCCCTTCATGTTCAAATGCATTAGTTTTAAAGCCTGCTTAAGGCTAAAAAATGCAAGATGGGTATTTGACTAGAATTACCTATTGGATATTGAGGACAGTGCTTATCCTTGGTTACTGTGGTAGTATTAACTCTTGAGAACACTTAGCTTTTACTATCTGAGTGAGATCACATATTTTGAAAAAGAGCAATTGGATTGTTGTTTCTGGGCAGAACTGGTATTAAGAAATGACTGAGATTATTCTCTGTGTGTTAGGCTGTTGTGCTTTGTACTAAAGCAGAGTTTACAGACATTTAGGATGACGATTAGTCTTTGGGGCCTCAAAGTAACAAACTCTGGAATTGTAAGAACTTAAATACAAGTGATGGAGTTAGACTAACATATATTTTTGTGCAGCTGTTTGGGACTGCAGATATTTTGTGAGACTGTGTCTCTTCAGCACTTCAGTTATTGCCTAGTTAATGTGAGTTTTCCTGTTCAGGAGTCTAAGTTGGCTATTTTTGTTGGCCTTGGAAGTGAATCTATGATCTGTGCAATCCATCACACTGATTCCAACTTGGATAGCTTGGTGTTTAGATCTCCCAAACCTGTTGGAGCTGAGCACAGTGGGACAATGCCCATCTTGTTAGCTTGCCCTTTCTCACTTTGTAAGGGAGATGCTCTTCTGTTTCAGGGCATTTCTGGTTTGGGTGTTGATATCTGGGCTGCATCCAAAGGAGTGTTGTGGGCAGCAGGTCAAAAGAGGTGATTCTTCCCCTCTAGTCTGCTCTGGTGAGACCCACCTGGAATACTGCACACAGTTCTGGTGTCTTCAGCGTAAGAAAGACATGGAACTGTTGGAGCAAGTCCAGAGGAGATCATGAAATTGCTAAGAGCACAGGAGCATCTCCCCTGTGAGGACAGGCTGAGGGAGTTGGGGCTGTCGAGCCTGGAGAAGGGCCTACAAGGAGCTGGAGAGGGACTCTGTGTTAGGAACTGCAGTGACAGGAGAAGGGGTAATGGGTTCAGACTAAAGGAGGGAGAGTCTAGGTTAGATGTGAAAAAGAAGTTTTTCCCTGTTCTGGTGGTGAGACACTGTCCCAGGTTGCCCAGGGAGGCTGTGGCTGCCCCAACCCTGGCAGTGTTCACAGCCAGGTTGGCTGAGCCTTGAGCAACCTGCTCTGGTGGGAGGTGTCCCTGCCCAGGGCAGGGGTTGGGACTGGGTGGTCTCTAAGCTCCATTCCAACCCCTGAATTCTATGGTTCTATGATCTTTATCAAGAGCACTATATGTTTTCAGCTGAACTTTCACCACATTGTCTGCCTTAGACATCTAACCTGAGCCACCCTCTTAGAGGTGCTTCTTTTTCTCCAAATGCTAGCTAGGGAATTTTAAGCATTTTGATTGTCTTAAGTGTCCCTGAGTTACACACCAGTAGTAACCAAAATGAGACCATTTTAGCATAGAGAGTAAGTGGAGATTCCAGCACAGCATGACAGTTTGTATTAAAATTGATGTTTTACATTGGCTGTGCATTTTTTAACAGGTAATACTGATGTCTGCTTCCATCAACTGTAAAGAGTTTGCTGATTACTTCACACTTCCAACTCCTATGGGTCTGAATCCAGCCTGTGTTTTCAAGGTGGAAGGCAAACCTTTTCCAATTGAAGAGTATTACCTTGATGATTTGAAGGGCATCGTTGGTTTCACGGTATTGTAAAAATCATTCTGTGTCTTTGGGCATAATAGGGGAAGAATTGGAGTGGTCAGTTGAAAACTGTGTAAGAAAAACTGCAAATAACCAATTTTACATGACAGCTCTAGGTAAGAGTTAATATGTGGTGATAAAACAGGAGTCTTCTTGCCAGCACAGCCAGGCTAAAATACAAGGCTGTCAGCTGTTGAAGTTCTAATGCAGGCAAAAAAACCTAACTTAAGTGCTTAGAGCAGTTGGCCCATCAGTTTTTGTACATTAGTATGGTAGCTCAGGTAGGTAATATGGAGGAGGTTATGTGATACGTGGGGGTCTGTACAGGATTTTTTGATGGTGACAACAAAAACAGAACTGATCAAATCAGAAATTTGCTTCAGTCAAGTTGGATTTGTCAGAGCTGCACTTGGAGCTAGATGTCATCTCTCACACCTTTCCCTCAGAGACCACAAACAACAGGAGCTGCTTTCAGTGCTTTGGCCTTTGTACTTTTTATTTTTTCTGTGTGTGTTTTTTTTCTTTGTTTTTTTTGGTAAACTTGTCATCTGATTCTGTATCTTGTGTTGTCCTATTTTATGGCCATTCTGTTGTTCAGTAGGATGAGGAGAGTATATTTGTCCAAGAAGTTACTTGTGCCTTAGGACAACAATAAAACCACAGAAGTGCTCTTGATTTATTTTTTTTTTTATATGTGTGAAAAAAAAAAAGATGAAAAAAACAAACTACAAGGCACTGATGCTTGGCCTTGCATCTTGTTTCTTGTAGTGCTCTGTGAAGTTTTTCCTGATTAGTACTTAAAAGACACTTAAAAAGTGAAGGGTCTAAGATGATTGGTGTGCTGTCCTAATAAAATGAGAGTGGAGTGTGAGTGTTGAGGCATTTGATGAGTTAACAGCGCCATATGGAAGCAGAGGCACACATCTTTTATCATGCCAAAGTCAGAATCAGTGAGATAACTGCCTGAGGTAGAGGCTTTAGTTGTTGATGTATTGTCACCTCTAAAAGCCAGGAAACTCCACTTAAAGGAACAGAGAAGTTAAAAGTCAATACAGTCTTTGCTTGTTAGCTAAACAGCATTTTTATATCATGATTTTAAAACTAATAGCTGTAAACTCAGATTCCATAAATCTTAACTCACTCCTTAAAGCATTTCAGTTGAACTCAGCTGAGTCCTGTGTAACCATCTCTTTGCTGTGTGAACCTTTGTCCCTGCTCAAAAATGGTAAAAACCCAACAAAAATAATTGGCTGTTACTGTATAGACACTGAATTCTTTTATGAATCCTGCAGAGCTCTTGGCTTTCATACATCACTTATTCCTACATAGAATAATGCTTTAAAACTACACTTGAAAATACACATTTTTGTTGGGCAGTTCTGATGGGAGTAATTGGGGAGTTCACTGATATCAGTTGTGATTTGGAAGATAAATAAAAATGCCAGTCATTATTTTTGTCTCCTGTACATGCCTATGTGCAGTAAATCCTTTGTTTTGGCTAGACAGACATCTAGCTGAATCAAAGATTAACTTTCCACTTGGATGGCTTCATTTGCAGGGAAGGACGAAAACAAGAGGGAAGGAAGGGAGAAACAGCCAGTGCAGCACTGGCTCTCCCTTGCCCAGATTTGGGGCCATTTATAGGTGCTACTGGTCAGTTTTTGAGCATAGGCTTATAAAATTGGTTTCTTTTCCTTTTGGCATAATGTCTTTGTAAGCGTGTTGATCCAGGTGTTTAACAGGGTCATGATTTTGTCATCTCAGCAACCTCCAAGCCCCAAGGAATCAGCACAACACAGGTGTGATGGGAAGTGCATGAAGGCTCTGTCTGTAGGCAGTTAGAGCTACTTGTGTAAATGCTTAACCTGGTGTTAGGAATAGCATGGGAGATACCAAACGCAAATTAATTCTGTGGTTAATTCTGTGAGCAGATTTAAAAAAGCAAAGCTAAGTACACAAATGGAAACCCTTTTTGGCTTGCAACTCTGAGAACTCCTTCATGGCCCTGGAACTGGAGTCAGAGCCCTGATGGAAGGTAGTGAACTGCTGTCAGAAACCATCGTGGTTATGTTGTATGACTTCAGTCAGGTCTGACTGGGCTTTTGGGTTTGCTATTTGTCACGTTGTTACCTTTCATTAGGAGTGATGTGAAAACCTTGTCATGTTAAGGAATACTAAAGGTACAATCAGGAACAAAATTGGAAAGACAAATTTGACAGTTCTTTAAGCAGGGATAATATAAACCCAAAAGTCTTTTGTTGGAGCAGTCCAGGAAAGATAAATTACTTAGGTTTTCTCATTTATTTGAGGTGTAGGAGGGAAATATTACTTCTCAAAAATACTTGAATGTGTTCTGTGGTTTGTGTGAAGAGAAGACTGAGGACAGAGCTCATGGCTGGATACAACTACCTCGGGGAAGGAAGTGCAGGGACAGCACTGACCTCTTCTCTCTGGGACCAGGGACAGGACCCAGGGAATGGGCTGAAGTTGTGTCAGGGGAGGGTTAGGCTGGAGATTAGCAACTGGTTCCTCTTTCCCCCGAGGGGTTTGGGCACTGAACAGCTCCCCAGGGCAGTGTCACAGCCCCAAGGCTGACAGAGCTCCAGAGGTGTTTGGCCAATGCTCTCAGGCACAGGGTGTGATTGTCAGGGATGTCTGTGCAGGGCAGGAGTTGGACTGATGATCCTCAAGGTTCTCTTCAAACTCTCAATATTCTGTGCTTCTCTGATTCTTGTGGACTAATGAAGCTTCACTGGAAAAGTGTTACCGTAGCTGGTGTAAAATGCAGTTAAGAAGCTCTGGGACTGACAGAGCTGTACACCTGAAAAGTCTACTTGGCTAGTTGATTTCAAGGTGGTCAGAGAAGTGGAAAGAATATTGTACATTCCTTACAGATGACTCTTTTTGATCAAGAATCATTAAGGAAAAGACCTCTGAGGTTGAGTCCAGCCTATGACCTGACACCACCATGGCAATAAGTGCCACATCCAGTCTTAAACATCTCCAGGGACTCCACTACTTCCTTAGGCAGCGCATTCCAGTGTCTAATCATCCTCTCTGTGAAAGACTGTTTAACCTAAACTTTCCCTGGCACAGCTTAACATTATGTCCTCTCATCCTGTCACTTCTTACCTGGGAGAAGATCCCCCAGTCCATGCCAGAAGAATGTAGGATAATTTTCTCAGGTCTTTCTGCAAACTCCAAGGTGACCCAAGGTTGCATGGAAGGGTTGGAAAGCTGAGGACTGAGGTTGCAGTAGTAAAAGCTGATACAAACCAGTGTTAGCAGCAGTGATTTTGCAGTTCTGCCGTGAGCTCTTTCAGAAACTGGGAGAAGAATAACTACTTGAATTTTATTAGTTCAGGTAGTTCAGTTTTCTGTGATTTTTAGCTCTCTGCAAGGCTTAGTCCAGTAAAGAGTTTGCACCAGTGAGGAGAAACCCTGAGAATGAAAGGTGAGCCATTATCATTTTCCCTGCAAGGGAAAAATGTGTAATATGGACCTTTTTCCAGAGCATGTCTAGTTCATTAAGCATTTTATTTTAAAACTGAGGAGTGATTTAAGTTACTGTCTTTGCTCTGAGGGTTTGATGCCTTGTGTTTTTAAATACTAAAGCCTTGGGGTTGCCACAGAATGCTGGAAGACAGTGTAGACAGGATTGTCATGGTTCTGTTGTGTGCGACAGAACAGTAATTCTTGGACAGGGTATGACCTAAAGCACAAGGGCAATTTAATGCAAAGACAGTTTAAGTGAGAGAGGTACATGATTTGTGTACAGTCAGGTAGAGACCTGCATTTTAGTCTGGCACAAGTTCCTCTCCTTGTCATGCTCTTCCCATGGGTTGTGATTAGTCTCATGTGGGTAAGGAGTATGTCCTGCAAATGAATGGAGTGTGACCCAGTGCTGGTAAACATCAGAAGTATTTCTCCAGCACTGGAGGGGCAACATGCTTGAAAAATGTCCCTTTAGAAGGCAATGAATGCAGCAGGTCAAGTTACTCCTTTGTCCAGGTTTCTGTGCTGGATGACTGAATTGCAAAACACTTGACAAGCTGAAATACATACCTGAGCCTCTTAGCCTGTTCCAGTGTGTTAACCTCAGTCTCTTCTCCAAACAGCTTCCTTCTCAAAGCTTTGAGCAACCAGTGATAGAAGAGAAGCTGTATGAAGTGGCAGTGTCTTTGATTCAGTTGTTTGATGACTTCGAGATGAAGAGCAGTAGGTAAGATACAGCTCAGGCTGTGGGGAAATAAGACACTAATTAAGCAACAGCAGCAGCCCATGTAGTACAGTTATCAGTGGTAACTTCATTTTCTATGTACCTCTGCTTTTATTTTGTGTCTCAGTTTCATTTCTCCCCCGTGTTCTTGATGTGCACTTGGTGCACTGAGTGTGAGTGACCATTCGAGCGAGATGTGTCACATGGAAACTCTACTTTGCGGTAGTCTGCTATGTTTTGATTGTAAGATCTTTGGTAACCCAATTCTGCCTAATTTCATTGCTGAAGAAGATTGTTTCTCTTTTGACATAGCTTTGAAGACAAAGTGAAACCTAGTGAAACTCAAACGAAACCGATGTTCATACACTTTGTCAGAAGACATAGTTGCAAACAGTGGTTTGAATTTCCTTTTCTTCAGGAAGTTTAAATAATGCATGTTACATAAAAAGTGTACAGTTCTGCTTGTTCTTTCAGAATAATGAAGTAGACTGAGGTAATAAAACTAATCAAACTGCATGTTCTTGTTAGGGAGAAAACCAGCCTGAGTGACACACCAGAACATGGCAGTGTGCTGGTGTTTTTGCCAGGTGAGTGCACATCTTAATAGCTTTTTTTTTTTTTTCTTATTTGTCATCTAATGAGTTTTCTTCTCAGAATCACAGAATCAGTCAGGCTGGAAGGGACCACAGTGAGACATCCCAGAGCACATGGCTCAGGGTTGTGTCCAGATGGTTCTTGAATACCTCCAGTGATGGAGAATCCACGACCTCTCTGGGCAGTGTGTTCAGTGCTCAGTGACTGCACAGGAAAGTTCTTGCTCGTGTTCAACTGGAACTTCCTGAGCATCAGTTTTTGGTGTTCCCTCTTGTTCTATTGGTTTCCCCCACTGAGCAGAGTCTGATCATCCTCTTGGCACTTCCCATTCATGGCCTTGAATCCATTCCTGAGGTCCCTCTCAGTGTCTCTTCTGGAGGCTGAACAGCCCCAACTCCCTCAGCCTTTCCTCATCCCTGAGGTGCTCCAGTCCCTTCAGCATCTTCCTTGCCCTCCCCTGGATGCTGTGGTCCCTTCCAATCTGACTGGTTCTGTGATTCTGTGACACCAGGGTTAATATGAGCCACTGTCAGATGATCTTTATATCTGCTGTTGCAATTTCACTTTAGTGAGTGTAAAACCAATACAAAATGGCTCTTGAAAAATTGACTCAGTGTTTAAGTGACTCATTATTACACTTGCTGTCCAACTCTTGTGCTGCTTTTTTCTATGGTGAAAAGGTGCTAATAGTGAAAGTCAATTAAGAATTGAGATAGATGTTTTAGACCTGTGAATGATGGCTAAAATGAAAACAAACTCTTGATGACTTTTTTTCTAGGTCTGAATGACATAAAATGTATGTACACTCATCTCTCAGATAAGTTTAAAAGGTAAGTTAAACTTTCATCTCTATGAGTTCTAAGTCATAGAACCATCAAGGTTGGAGGAGATCTCTAAGATCATGAAGTCCAACCATTTGTGCATAGTGCAATGTACATAATAGGATTTGGCACAGAGGTGAAATTTACTTTGCTATTCATGCATCAGGAAATATTTCACCAAGGTATTTTCTTTAGGTGGCAAGTGTACCCACTTCACTCCTGTGTGACATTAGAGGAGCAAAATAGAGTGTTTTCAGCAACACTTCCTGGCTACAGAAAAGTAAGTATTGTTCAATCATTACTTCTTTAAAGCAAGTGAAACCTTTTTGCTAGAGTAATAGCAAATAGTAAAGTATATAAATAATACTGCTCAAACTCAAACCATTTGATAGTCATAAATCCATCAGGGTTGGGGGAGACCTCTAAGGTCATCAGGTCCAACCATTAACCTGTCACTGCTGGATCCCCTAAATCCTAAACCAGATCCTCCAGTGTCAGATCCAGACACCTCTTCAACACTTCCAGAGATGGTGACTCCACCACCTCCCTGGGCAATATCCCAGTGCCTCAACACCACAGCAGGGAAAACATTTCTCCTCACATCCAGTCTGTACCCCACATTTTGGCTGGACTTGTGGTTTTCTTCACCTGTCATCACCCATAGAGTATTACTGCTAATTGTGTGATGTTTTGATATGGCAGAGCCATAAGGGAATATTCCCATTCTCCCTCTACATTGTGCTAGGCTGTACTACTTTATTATGCTTTTCTGATCTTAGAACAAGAAAAATACAAGTTTTCTTGTATTGCCTTTTTTTAATATGCAGAGCAAAAATGCTATGAATCATATAATCACAAAATCGTAGAATCAACCTCCAAGATTATCAAGTCCAACCCTACTGTGGTTACTAGACCATGGCACTAAGTGTCACATCTAGTTGCCATTATGTTGAGATTTCTTCATAGCAAGTTGGATTTTTCATGTAGAATAACTAATGTGAATAATTTTTTTTTTTTTTAATGTATTCACTGTTCATTGTTTTGCTTCAAACCTCAGGTGATTCTGGCTACCAACATAGCTGAGAGCTCTGTAACAGTTCCTGATGTCAAGTATGGTAAGTTATCCAAAAACTGTGTACACTGTATTTGTGCTAGGTTAAGTCTCCACAACATGTCAGTGGTTTCCAAAGCTTTGCTGGTGGGGTTTAATTTTGACACTTGTTCAATTCCTTCCTGCACAACAGAGAAGTCTGAGTATGTGAACAAATAGAGCTACTGGGCAGGTTGGTTTTAAACTGCACTGGGGGAGGTGATTTGCAATGCAGTAACAAGCAGAGCCAGAATTCATGTCACAAATAACTGAAGCTCTTTAATCACATTGTGACTATATTTTGAACTAACTGCATCAGTTTAAGCCAATTCTAAAGGCAGAAATGATTGGCTTTTAATGCTTGTCATCTGCACTAACTGTGTATTATACTCCTGTTCAAATCTGTTAGCAGTTCTGTCAGCACTCAGAGGATCCTGGGTCTGGTGGTTCATCCATCTGGTGTTCAGGTCACTGAAACTTTCCTTTCCTGATTATACCAAGTCAACCAGTATTTCTTTCCACTGCCATGAGGATAAATTGTTTCATAACAACACTGTATTTTTTCCCTTAATTGCAGTGATAGATTTCTGCTTGGTCAGAAATTTGGTTTGTGATAAGGAGACTAATTACCTAAGTTTGAGACTTGGCTGGGCATCTAAAGTGAGCTGTAACCAAAGAAAAGGTAAGATGGCAATACTTAATGGAAAGGAATTTTAGAAGCTGACCTTCATTCCAGGATTCTAGCAGCCCTCTTGGCCACCAGAGCACTCTGTTGGCTCATGGACATTGTTCACCCCACCAGGACCCCCAGGTCCTTCCCACAGACCTGCTCTCCAGCAGGTCAGTGCCAACCTGTGCTGGTGCTTGGGTTTATTCCTCCCCAGGGGCAGGACCTGCACTTGCCCTGGTTGAATCCCAGTTGGTTCTTCTCCATCCCTCCAATCTGTCGAGGTCCCTCTGAGGGGCAGCACAGCCCTCTGAGGAGTCACCACTCCTCACAGTTCTGTATCATCAGGAACTTGCTGAGAAAGCAACTCTGTGCCCTCAGCCAAGTCACTGATGAATAAGTTGAGCAAAACTTGGCCCAGGATGGACCCTGGGGGACACCACTAGTGAAATCATTGTGTTTGCTGTAAATAGCAGATCATAAAGATGTTTTGCTGTTTATCATCATGTCTTAAAAGCTGTTTATATAGAAGTTGTGTTCTGGCTGTAGAGTCAAATAGGAACTGTCTGTTCAGCTGGAAAAGATGAATGCTGATTCGAGGGCAGTTATGTGAAAGAGGCATTTAAGTGAGATACTTGCGTAACTCTTCTGTTAGTTACTGCGGCTGTGAAAGCAAAATGTTTTCATCTACCTTTATGTCCCCACTGGCCCTGTCTGCTGCAAAAGAGCAAAACACTGGTCAGCCTGCAGCATCAGCTGCCCACAGGGCTTGGAGGGAGATGGGTTTGGAAACAACGTGGGCATTTTGGTGATTTGTTCTTTCCTGCGAAGGTCGTGCTGGACGTGTTTCCAAAGGGTATTGCTACAGGCTTGTGCACAAGTTCTTCTGGACAAACTTTATTCCAGAGGAGTCAGAACCTGAAATACTGGTAAGACTTTTGGTTGTAGGGTTAGGAACATGAAGGTTTCTTTTATGTATGTGGTCATAGCAGTGACAAAAAAAACCCCAAGTTTTGCTTTACTTTTCCTGAAGGCAGTGTACAATTTGAGTAGCTGCTACTAAGTGTAACACTGACTAGAATTCCACTTGATAACTAATTGACAAAGCCCATCTCACATAGTTTCCTTATGGAAGGAAATGCAGTAAAGTCCATGTGGAGAAGAAATGAGCAATCTGCTCAAAAGAAGAATAGCCTTAGTTATATAAACTTAATTTTGGGGTTTACTGATTGGTAAGCTTATTGTTCATAGAAAACAGTGTGTCACACTTCTCATGAGAGAGAGAGTAACCACAATGTTGTCTTCCCTTCAGTGCTGTCCACTGGGAGCTACAGTCTTACAAATCAAGAAGCTTGATATGGGGGAACCCAAGGCTTTGCTGGCAACAGCTCTTTCTCCACCCAACTTAGGTGACATTGAACGTACCATAGTTCAGCTGAAAGAGGTAGGCTTCCTTTTTGATGTTGTTCAGACCGAGGTGATGTACTGTAGGAGTGATGTTCTTGGTATTTAAAGCAGTAGTAGCCTTAACTGGAATCTCAAACAGGACCTGTGTCTAGAGAATATCTTCTCACATTTTCCTCTTGTTTGGTTACCAGTCTCTTGAGCATCATTTCTGTAGTTACTTCATGACATCAGGGAGTGATGATGCTGTTTGAGGATTAGCATTTGTGGTGAGAAAGAATAGGAAAAAGAAAATAAGATAACTTGAACTCTGGAAGTGAAATTGCTTGAGTATGCAATAAATCACACTCTTGCACCTAATAATGGGTAGGCTCAGCCTGAAGATCTTCTGACCTGTACAAGGAATTTGGTGGTAGTGCTTTTCAGTTATGAAGTTAATAACATGACAACCCCATGCAGTGCTCCAGGCTGG